GTTGTAGCTCGCAATCGACGTCAGCTTGATGCCGCGTTGATGAGAAGTCGACGAGCGCCGACTTCATCTTGGTCTGGCCCGACTTGAAGTCGTCGCCGCCAATGAAGGCGCCGTGCTCTCGGCCAGCTCAATGGCGCCCGGCACAAACGTGTTCTGCGGCGATCCGTTGATGAAAGGGCACGCCCCTCGAGCGTGCACGCCACCGAGAAGACGGTCGACGGTGACACCTCCTCGTGGCCTTGCTCGATGGCCTTGAGGAGGTTGTCGGCCGTGTCGTTGACGCCGGCGATGACTCCCGTAGCGCTCCGTGTTGGCCGTCCACTGGACAATGACCTTGTCGAGGCCGTTCTTCTCTTTGAAGTCGCGGATGTTCTTGCGGATCTGCTCAACGTGCTCGTTGCAGGCCTTGGTGCCCGGCAGCACATTGTCGGCGCGGTCCTCCTGATTGGCGGCGATGAAGTCCGGGTAGTAGATGGAAGGCAGAGGCACGATCTGGGCCATCTCCTTGGCCACCTGCTGCTTGAGCGTAGGCTCGAGCACCTGGGCGCGGTCCATGGCTTCGGCCAGGTTGAGGCCGCTAATGTCCCAGCCGCCAATCACGAGGTCGTTGGGGTGGACCATGGGCAGGATGTCCGAGAAGGGAATGTTGACGTCCTTCCTGGTCTTGGTGTCGGTGCCGAGCTTGATGGTGGAGCTCATGATGACGGAGCCGTAGTAGTTGGCGGCCCGGACACCTCGCGCGTCTGCCACGTGAGGCCGCGGCGGTTGGCAATGATGCCGGCCGTCACGGTGGTGCCGTTGTTGCCGCCGAGGCCGACCAGCATCATGCCGGTCTTGGGGACCTTACGCTCCGTCTTGAATTCGTAGACGGTCTCGACGGGGGTCACGACAAACTTGCCGCTCTCGTCCTTGGCGACGTCCGTGGTGCGATAGGTGTACTTGGACAGGATCTCGTTGTCCGTGTACGTCACATTGGACGAGTTGACAGTGAAGAGCTCACGAGTGGCGGTGGCAGCCACAGCGGCCTGGTGGCCGTTGGATTGTCCATCTCCGTGCAGGGAGCCCGAATCAGCCTCAGCGTGGGGAGCCATGGTGTACTTGGTTGGGATGGCTTGACTTGGCGTGGGGAATGGGTTCGTGGAATTGAGTAGCTGTTTGATCTGCTACTGGCCTTAGATTTCTTTGGCCGAGTCCGCTGATCCCCCGGGCGAGGCAGAGCAACGGGCTCCTGCAAACGGGTGGTGAGTCCTGCAGAGAAGAGTCAGCTTGTCCAAAAAAAAAAAATGGATTCACTTGTGACAGTGACCCCTCGGCGGGGCTTTTCTTTGTGGCAGTTTGGCTTACGAGTTGAGGAGATTGGAAAACGTCTTGACGACGGGGTGATCACGACTCGAAAGCGTGATCAGGCAGTTTGAGTGCGAGGTTGGTGGGTGGTGGGGGGATGACTGAGAGTGAATTGGAGAGCAATGATCTGGCAACGATGACTGATGTTGTGTTGGTAAAGAAAGGGAGAGAAGGGAAGGTTCCGGGCCAGAGGGGTGGGATGCGCGACTTCAAATACCATGTTGTTATCTGGCGAGCCGCGCTAGGCAGCATTGCTGCCCCCTTACCCAGGTACTTACTGCCCGGGACATCGCGCACGCCACGTCCGACATCTGAATGGTCGTTCTCTAGCCGTTGGATGCGCTGCAAGACGCGCGCGGCGCCGAGCGAGAGATGATGAGAGGGGCGGTGAGAAGACGCAAGGCCAAGGGCAGCATGGAACCTATGCAACGCGATACCATGTGGAGTGGGTAGCGTGCAGGACATAACAGGGTCCCGGGTCGTCCGCTCGTGACAAGCGCGGTTTTCGTTGGTGAGGTGAGGTGAGGGGCAGGGCAGCAGGTAGACACGCGATGCAGCAGTGAGCGAGCGAACGAGCCAAAGCCGAGGAGGGGCATTTTCGGTTTGGACGCTTGAGCCAGGCAAAACCAACCCAGCACTTTCCCTGCGCTACTGCTCCCTCCCTCCCTCAGAGCCATGGTCAGATGGCAGCTCACAAACATCCCTTCTAGCAAGCATTGAGGCCATTGAATTAATGTCCCGCCCCCCTTGAGAAGTAGGAGACCTTGATGCTCGCTCCAATTCGCGAGGCCGTGGTCGAGGTTGGAAGTCCCAGGATCCAGGCTCTGCCCCTCGTTTAGCCCACAACCCCCCCCCAGTTCCCAACAATGAGGGAGAACCCCTCCCCCTCATCCCACCAGACCCGCCGCCCTCCTCCACTGTTCTGCTGGCAGCTCTGTTCTTTGTGCCCTACTGCAGTCCTGTACCGTAACTTACTGCTCTCCTCGGCTCGCCTGGGCGGATCTTTCGGATGCTTGCGGGTCGCTCATTCTCCCTCCTACATGTAATTCGTCTTCGTCCCTCGTGCGAATGCATCTGACCTGCGAGCTGACCCGATGCAGGAACTGCCCTTGTGGTTCCTGTGATTGTCCCTTCCCCATGCAACACGCCGAGTCGAGGGCTGTGACGGTGCCCAGCCGTTGTTTGCCTCTCGTAACACAATCAGCACTCATATGTGCGTTAGAGGACAAAAAACAAACAAACAAAAAAGGTGCACTCCCTATCTGCGCTGCACACTGTACACTGCATGCCGAGCGCTGAGTCCTGGGTTTGCCTTGCACCTTGCATCTCGGCTTCGGGCGGCCGTCTGCGCCGTCCTTCCGCCACGACCGCTGTTCTCCCATTCTGCATGCATGTGAACGGGGTGCGCTGGCATCGCCTAGACCATCACGGTTCGCCCATGGCTCTCTCGTCATCTTATCCACCCCCCCCGAAGCCCACTATTT